AGCCAAATTTCATACGATTTCACTTGTCCATCATCTTGGATGCAAGGCGAAAACATTTCAGCGCGTTTGAAGCCACTGAGAATGCCCCCTGCAGAGTTGGACGAAGTGTGTTATCAAACCTCACAGCATTGTTTTTTTGACTGACTGTAGCGTCAAAACAAACTCATTCATTTACTTGAACTGAATGTTCATCTTAATTGTTATGGATAGTCACGGAGCCATGATCCAGAGTACAGGGAGTTATTAGATAGAAATAAACTAAGTAATAATAGGATTACCAGAAAAACGGGGTTTTACACACAAGCCAATAAACTTCGCTCATTAACACCAGAGTAAGTCAGTACAAGATTGAAAACTGCCCCATAATTATGTATGACATGCTTGTCGGGTATTGCTACATATATATGTGAAAACAAAGCAAAACTGATGAAAGTTAACAATAAACGTCGTGTATACGTGTTATATCGTCACTGCAAAAATAATGATTGTTTGTCTTTAGTATTTACATTCAAATACGTTATATCTGTATTAGCGATATTGTCTTTGTTCCACCGGTGAGTCATCGTTAGTATAATTGTATTTCTGAAGACATCACGATACAGTTTTTACGATGCAACACGTCTGCACTAGCGCTTGATAACAGCCTTGTGTTTGGGTGTTTCAGTGGTTTAAATCGCTGCTCTTGATATTGTTGATTAAACTTTGATACTATGAACAATATAATGTTATGTGAGAGGTTGACTTTAGAACGGTAACATACTAATAGTGTATAGGATGACATAAACAGAACAATGAGAAGTTCGTCCAGATTAGTGTATAGGCAACATTTAATAATTAAAATAATTACATTCAACAACTCCCCTTTTAAGTCAATTTTCCTGACTTATAAGTAAATACAAGAACAATCGGCCGGAATACAATGTATAGTTCTTGTCCACTTCCATATGACTATATAGCATACAATAAGCTATCGGGTCCCGTTTAGATCGGTTTGGGTGGCAGCCTAGATAGCCATAGAATAGTTTCATCTTGGAATCTCCCATATCACTGGGAATCCTCTTCAATTTAAATGGAGTTACTCGTTACGATTCCGAACCTTCACGTGACTGTGTTTATGAACCATTGTCAAATAGTGGTGACATTAAATCTAGGAAACAATACGCGAAATCGCGCATGCACAGAACGGAAAATTTGGTCAAGGCATTAAGTAATCCGCATGCGCAGAACGATTGATTTCAGTACTTCCGCTAAGCGCTTCGAGTGCAGCGTCAAACGCGGGCCTGTAATCTAACACGTGGGAACTGACCAATGAAATCTGAGAAGTAGAAATACCGGTAGACGCTGTTGCTTGATTGACAATGTCAATCAAGAAAGGGAGGAGCTTAACGCTATCGTTCTCTCCCAGTAAATTCCGATGTCAAATAACGACGTTATTTGGACGGAAAAACGATGGTTTGAAAACGTCCAAATAACGTCGTTTTTCCGTCCAATGACCATATACGGAAAAAAACGACGTTTTCGTGTTTGCAGTGTTATGCAAGTAGAGATTTAATATTACCCATCTGTATACCTTTTATTTTGTTATTATTTCTTATCATTATTGCTAAGATTTCGGCACAAAGAATAGCGATATATGGTGATATCGGATCCCTCTGGCGACAACCCCTTTAAACCTTAAAAAAATTATTAGCGTATCTATTTACCAAAACACTTGATTCAATATTTTTGAAAAAGACTTTTTCCCAATGTTGAATACTTGGTCCAAAATTTAAAAAAAGTTAGTACATTTCTTTCCACAGAATCAAATGTTGTTGGTTTTTTTTAAATCAATTAATAACAATAAACCTGGTATTTGGTAAGATTAGATATAGTCCATCACATCATAAATCATTCTTGTAACCTCTCCTAAATATCTACCAGCAACAAAACCTTTTTGATCCTCTTGAATAATTAAAGGCCTAGGCAAAACATGTTTATTCTGTTTGCAATTGACGTTGCAGCTAACTTATAAGATGTGTTAAGAAGGGAGATGGGGCGCCAATTTCCTAAAAATATTTTTGGTTTATTTTCTTTTGGGATACATGTTATCAATCCTTCTTTTGGGCCTACTGATAGAGATCCATTTTTATAAGCATATTTTAGAGCATTTATTAAATATCTATGAAGATCCACCCAAAACAATCTTATAAATTCTGCTGAAAACCATTCTTGGCCCGGGCTTTTATTATTTTTCATTTTTTCCTATGCTTTAAGTACCTCATCATAAGTCAATTCTCCCTCAAGAGAAAAGGCTAAATCATCATCGAGTCTTGGCACACGGGTATCAGAAAATAGGTTATCTAAATCAATCTGTTTGCTATCTTCAGTTTTATACAATTTCTACTAATAGTCTCTGACTTCTTGAATTAGTTCATCTTGTTTGTATAATTGTGTCCCATCTCAGTTTTCAAGTAATGATATGGATTTGTTTAAACAGTTTCTATATTCTAGTGGCAGAAAATATTTTGGTCATCAAATGTAAATACTCTCACTTTAAGATGCATTGTCTTCATATTGATCTGGAGTATCATTAATTGCTTTTTTAAACTATTGTAACAAAGTGTTTATCTTTCAAAAGTGAGTTAATAAATTTTCAAAAGCCTTTTCCCCTTTGTGAGTGAGTGAGTGAGTGAGTGAGTGAGTGAGTGAGTTGGGTTTAACGCCGGGTTTAACAGTATTCCAGTTATATCGCGGCGTGTAAGCTTAATGTGGGAGGAAAGCCCGAATTGATGCATGTCCTAGACGTTTGCCACCTCGGTGAAACCCACGAGCACGGGTATGGTACTGACAAACCTAGAAACATAATTGGGGCGAACCGGTATTCGAACCCACAATCATAGGTTTCTTGCGTGCCCAAGGGACGCCACTCTGCACAGCGAATCGCGGCGCCTCAGACGACTGGGCCACCCAGTGTCCCCCTTTCCCCTTTGTATATCTGAAAGTGAAACAGTAACAGATATAATAGAGTGGTCAGAATTCATACTGGGTATCATATCGCTGCCTTCAACTTACTGTAGCACATTGTGTGAGACTGAAAAATAACCCAAATGAGCTTTCTTTATTGTTGTGGGTTGTAGCCAGGTGTATCTTCTTGCAGATGGATATAATTCCCGCCATGGGTCTATAGGATCTAAACTATCAATTGTCTCCAAAGTTTTTGGTTAATATGTTTATAATGACAAGTGTCTATATCTTATCAATTATTAAATTCCAATGACCACATGGAATGATTCTTTCTCCTGTTAATTCTACTGCGAGTTCCTTTATTTCTTAAATAAATTCTGGTTTGTCAGAATTTGTTCCATATAAGTTAATTATGGTATATATTTTATCATCAATACTTACATCTAATGCCACAAACTTACCTTAATATTTATCTATAATTGAATGCATTACTTTGAATTCAAAATTGTTATTTAATAAAATAGCAGTAACTATTGCTTTGCTTTTAAAAGGACAAATATAACATTGTTTATAACCCCATTGCGGCTTAATTTGGCTTGATCAACTGTGAAATGTACATCTTGTAGACAGTAAATCTGGGCTTTTTTTATTTTACAAAAAATAAATACTTGTTTCCTTTTAAAAGTATTATTTAAGCCTCTACAATTGAGTGATAATATCTTAAATTTCCCCTTTTTTGTATTTTGTCATAAATTAATATTTTGCCATAATAAATAAGTATAGTTTTGTCTGTGTTGTGTATATTTGCACACTGCAGGTTTGGATGGAAAAACGTTGATAGATGACAGATGAACGATTTAATGTTTCCCCAAACTGTCCTGATTCTTTGAAAATAGTGATGTAACTATATCTATGGTTACAATGTTTAGGACACATGCTTCATGGATTAAGGAATGAAGTTTGTCGAGTGGCCAAGTCGTGTACAGCTGTTTTGACATAATTGAAGTTGGTTCATTTGTTTATTAAGATTACTGATGAAGCAACATTCACGAATGTAGTTTAAGTTAGTTCAGTTTTCCTTGGAACAGAAACCAATCCAGACGACTCAGCTAGATGCACAGAAGGGATATTAGTGACAGTTATTGTTCAAACTACATTACGATTAATGTAGGGATAATGGTCGCCACTAACATTAATACTTCAATACCTCTGATAAGTTTTGAAATAAAATAGACACTCCGCAGTCCCAAACCCTTTGAAAACCGTTACATTAGCATGGTGGTGTATTAAAATATTGAGTACCTATTTGTTTCGGGATTTTATTACTGGGTGAGGTTTTGAGCCATTAAATGGGTGAACGAAAGAGTGTTAGTAGCTCATCATACAAGTCGAGATTACGGGCAGGTATACACTACTAAGCACGGCCGCTGATGCCTAAGAGACACTATGAATTTAATTGAGAATATGCCTATCTTTTAGTTATTGGTTTCCTTAAAGTCATTATTATGTGTTCATCAGCTTTTAAGTTTCAACTGTGGAACTGTGATATGATAACGAAACCCTTCCCTGTACATATATTCGGTCTATGATGTTTAGGGCAAAACAACGTCCCCTAATGTTTGTTAAGTGAGAGTGTTAGATATTATCATCACTCAAGATGAATCTGGAAGAGTTGGGTGTTACGTCTCCTTTAGCATTAATCAAACCATATATCTGTTTTGAATAGTTTATATGTATATTGTGGTTATTCAGTTTCTATTTTTCACCAAACTACAACACAAAGCTATACAGTCATTCCAGCAGCAGTGCAGAAAGCGCATCGATATTTGATAAAAGGAGTGGATGAAAGTGAGAAGGGTCTTACGCATTTCTTTTCCATGTTCCAGCCATGTCATGGAGAGAGACATTGTGCCCATGCAGGAAATCGAGCCCGGGCGTTTGGCATGACGGGCCAACACTAAGCTAACCATACCGCCTTCGGGAAGATGAAAAACAAGAAAGTGCTCATATGACATCATATTTTTTTTTATTTTCAAAGATCAACCCATAACACTTTATTAGTGACCAATGCCGTGCCCAAAGAAGGACCCCTGTCCTCCAAAGAGACCGGCAAAGCCATGACCACCAATAAGACCACGCCCTCCAAAACCTCCAAAAAGACTATGTCCTCCTAGCCCCCCGAAAGCTCCGTGTCCAGCTACCCCATGTCCGCCAAGAATTGACCCAGACCCTCCTAAGCCATGTCCACCGACGAAGGGACCAGACTCTCCGAAACCCTGTCTGCCGAAGATTGAGCCAGCCCCTCCGAATCCATGTCCGCCGACGAAGGGACCAGTGTGACCAAAGCCATGACCACCGACGAAGGCACCAGACGCTCCGAGACCCTGTCTGCCGAAGATTGAGCCAGCCCCTCCGAAACCATGTCCGCCGACGAAGGGACCAGCATGACCAACTCCATGTCCAAAACCACGTCCGCCCATAAAGGGACCGGCATTTCCAAATCCATGTCCACCAACGAAGGAACCAGCATGGCCAACACCGTTTCCAAAGCCATGGCCAGCGAAAGGCCCGTGGCCATTGCCGTTGCCGTAGTTGTTGTAGCCTTTGTAGCTGTAGGTATAGCGGCCGTGACCAGAACCGAGGCCTCTTCCGAAACCGAAACCGTTTCCTTGGAAACCGCCTCCAAGGAGACCATGACCATTCAGAGGAAAGCCAGCATGAGCACATGCGCAAAGAGCGGCGAGCAAAACGGCAACGATCTGAATCAAAATAGAAGATCACTTCAAAGGTTTCATGTTTTATTCTATTGATGATTCTAATAGCAGATAAATTCAATAAGAAAGAATTGTATTGTTTCAATTGAATCAACCCATATAAGTAAAAAAATCAAATTTTGAAGATGTTATAAGATATGTGATGAAAGGTGTACGGATTTATCAGAATTGAATTGACTTGGATAAGGACATCGAAATTGAAAGCATAGTTTAGGCCGCGTTCAGAAATATTCATGCAATACTGATACAACACCAAGAGTTTTACACAATATACCACTTCTGGGACTAAAAAACACTTAACACTGTGCAGACCATCGCCTACAAGCCTAGAAGAATGGCCCATGAAACAATAGACAACCAAATTCAGATATCTTACCTTCATGGTTGAGTGTTGGGACGGTGCTCGCTGTTATGAAGCCCGAATCTCGAGTTGGTGTGATGATTAGCTTAGCCCGATGACTCTTATATACACAGCACCTGTACAGTAAAGTAATAGCAGCCATTCGTATCCTTTTGTTATGATAATATGAATCAGCGATGGGGGTTGTGACCTCTCACAGATGAAAGCACCCTGCGGTTTTAGAACCCAAAAGTAAGGATCACAAGCAATGTCTGATTAATATTTGATCAGGGATGCAATAAAGTTTGGAGAGAGTCAGTATCTGGGATGAATACCCAACTGTTACTATTCATCTTTAGGTTCAAGGAGCACCTTAATTTGCATATTGATAATTGAAAGGTATGGCTCTGTAGCCATGTCATGGACAACATATGTACTGAATTGAGAGCCTTGAAAGGTCTATTCACACACAAAATGTTGTTTGGTGTTTATTGCACTAGCAATATTCTCGTAATATGACATTGACTTGAAAATAATCGAGTCGGGATTTGACAATCTGTTGACTGATATTGATTGATATCTACGCCTTCGGGGTACGATGACACGCAATCAACCACGTCAAGAATCCCTACTGTCCGATTCATATGGTCATCTCTTGGGACCAAGATACATTGTATCGTAACTGTGTGTGAATGTAGTTTTTGTGTCATGAACTAAACTGTAGTTAAAAGGAAATATTTCATCAAGAAAACATGATTTTGTTCATATATATTTAGATTATAATCAGATAAGAAATTGTGTTGAAGTAGTGACACCAACGTTATTCACATGGTTGAGCATCTTGTGTCGACGTCTTATCCAACTGGATACAATCTCGTTTTCCAACAATGTCAGTCACTGTCCAGTAGGACATGATGCAATGTATCGTCAGATATTGGTTGTTCGGCAGACAGAGGTGATATGCGGCTATTATCTGAAGACTTTTCTATCTCACAGTTTGGCCGATAAAGCCATCTTATGTCGTTACATATGTACATATATTACAGATGTTAATATGAGAATGTAAACTACAATGGCAAATTGCGCAACGCCAGAGAACAACCAGCCTCAATTATCTACCGATTACAATGAGCGTGAAAGGCAAAATAGCGGTGAAAATTATATGAATGGATCACTGAAACTGATACCAGGTGTTCGCGAACACCGATACAAACAGGGAACGTCCCTAAACCTCATGTAGGTAGTCATGTACTTGTATTTTGGTGTAAAACCATGTAGATAAAATCTCAATATTATCCTATAACCGGTATATACAGTTGAACTGTATCATTCTCTTACAACCCCCCTGTCTTTACTGCACGTTGAATGTTGTAATTACATATGTACGCCCAGAACTCGAGTTAGTTATAAAGGATGTGTTAAATAAGTTGTTTTCCAATTGGTTCTATATATTGTTTGTAAAAATAAATTTAGGTTTTTTGTTTGTAAATGTCAATAATGGTTGCATCCTCTTCCAGTTTGGATTTGCTTCGCTAGGTGTATACATCTATCAAAAATGCATTCATGTTGTTTTTGGTACTCTGTACTCTCACATACATACGTAGATTGAAATACAAACATGTACAATGTACATAAAAAAAGGACACACAGTTCACCTTTTGAGTTTCGATCTGTCTTTGTGTACATAGCAAGCATGAAGGACCAAATATTTTGTGCGAATAAAAGCGTATATTCACTTCAAAATCCAAAGCATATTCTCGTTAATATGTACATGTATGCGCTTGTGTGTTGTGTCGGGGTTGGGGTGAGGACGAATATTCATTTAGAATATGGTTAAATGAGTATTTTACTTATTAATATATATTGTAGCTGTCTCTTAACTTGACCACCATCAATTCTTAATGTATAAGATCTCATGAATCATCATTGTCACAGCTTAACACTCTATACCATTTAATCAAAGCAAGAAATTCAATGGCAATGATATTAGATGAATATATGTGGTTATTCATTGATATTGTGAGGAAATAAAAACGACACTGTGTCAGATACAAGACACTGAATATTCGATTCCTTGTATTAAATTACAAGCAAGAAGGCTGAATGTTCCTTACGCTGACTGATGAACTCGTTAAGGTAACATTTAATTTTAAGATTCGCTCGCTGTGTAGACTCGGTTACCCACATGGGTACAATATATGAGAACACTTCTTACTGTCACGTCCTGGAATTCCTGGGATATATCCAAAGACGACATAAAACTCTACTTAATCTCTCACTTGCGTTTTCCTGGGACAATCACATTATTTTCAAATGGATTTAGTATCTTACTACGTCTTGTTGCATGATCTCATGACCAATTGAAAATGTATAACTGCAATATACAGAAAAAATATTGTAACCACTGCATCATTTAACTTATACGCCATGCTGTATCTCACATTGATTTCCTGATTCACCAAGAGCACATAGTTATTAAAATCAACATGCATTCATCCTCTAAAGTCATTTGGTTTTACTTTACGAAACGTTTATGAAATTTAGTATTAACAATATTTCGAAGCTAGAGAAATCCATTCAATTCCAAATCTCATAAATACATGTAAATATGTGCGATTTGAAACTAGATCTAGCTCTGTGAGGGAAATTGATTAAACAGTTTTTCTTCCATATATCATGCAAGTTCAAGTCAACTATTGAGAACAGTCTTGTGAGCTTCGCGAAATGCTGTGAATATTCATCATAGTTTATTGCTGTTTGACCGCAAATGAATAAATTTATTATCCGTAACTTTGTATTTAACATAACAATAGAGGATTGAAGGAAAGCAATAATTTATTCGTGATTTGTGTCTATATATGAGCGCTCGTTTCAACAAGTCTTCAAACCTTTCTTCGCTTCTCATCAAAGAACATTGCCAGATTCTGATCTCAACCATGAAGGTACAGTATTTGCATTTGGGTAGTCTAATTTCCGAGATAAATGCGCTTCACAATTGTGGAAATGGACCTCTTCGAACTTTCTGCTTAGACCATATACTCATGTTCAAATGTCCGAAAACCGCCTCATGAAAACCTCCACAATCCTTCATATTGACACATTTTATCCTTACCAATGCATTAACTGTTTCTGTTATAAGTCCCAGACATGCAATCGTTGAAATGAACAAATTTTAGTTCTCATTCACATGGACACATCTAATAACTTTTCTAAAACATGATAATTCTGAAAGTTTAATTGTACAGATCATGTGGGCCAAAACGAACGGCGTTAAACCCAACTCACTCACTGATTATCTCCATTTGAATGAAGAAATAATACTATTTCACCCTTGGGCTTTAAATACTTCCTTAAATAACAAGTGTATAATATGATAAAAGAGACACTTTGTTTTTGTTGCAGTCAGTTGCAGCATTGCTCGCTGTATTTTGCGCATGTGCACATGCTGGATTTCCTCTGACTGGAAACGGTCTCCTTGGGGTTGGTTTCCGTGGTAACAGGGGCCTAGGAGGCCTCGGTAGTAATGGTTACGGCTACTACCCTAACAGCTACAACGGCTACAACAACTACGGCTACAGCAATGGTCATGGACCTTTCGCTGGACATGGTTTTGGGCAGGGCGTTGGACATGCTGGTTCCTTTGTCGGCGGACAAAGCTTTGGGGGGATCGGTTCCTTCGTCGGCGGACATGGCTTAGGAGTTGCTGGTCCCTTCGTCGGCGGACATGGAGTAGGCGGACATGGGGCTTTCAGTGGCCATGGAGTAGGCGGACTTGGAGGTTTTGGAGGACGTGGTCTTGTTGGCGGACATGAAATAGGCGGACATGGAGCTTTCAGTGGATATGGAGGTTTTGGAGGTCGTGGTCTTGGTGGCGGACATGGTTTCGCTGGTCATGGTCTTAATGGTGGTAATGGCCTTGTCGGCGGACAGGGCCTCTTCGCTGGACATGGCGTTGGACATTATTAAGTGCGTATTACCATGATCATATTATGTTAAATTGTTGATGTATATATTGTAATACACCATCGATGATAATAAAATCATCGACACAATATTGTCCTTCGTTATGTGCTCTTTTCCGAACACGTGTTGGGGCTGGCGCTTGACTGTAAGTTAAACAGTCAAAAAGTGATGAGTCAGCTCAAATACATCGTCTCAAACAGAAATGTAAACATACACGAAATTCTTATGGAGAAATTATTTTAATGCGATTGAAATATTTGGTTGAATAGTTAGCTTGCAAGAAAGGTTCATGACAGGGAATGAGTTCTTGGTAGAGGGGGGGGGGGGGGGGGGGGGGGGGGGGTGTGATGTGTCGTGACATCATGTGACATCTTCTTTGATTGATACACACATTGATCACAAATGTATATTTGTTTCATACCTCAAACCCCTTTTTACATCTCAAAGCAGGTCTTATTTATGATTCAAAGTTAAACCGTTGGTCTTACTTGAAAGACGTAAGACCCCCTAGTAGGCCTTTTTGGGAAAGTAAGACCTTCCCATATGTTCAAAGTCGTTCCCTTCTTCGATTGAAACTACTTGGTCAGAAGAAAATCTCCTACAATGGTATGAAGTCACCGGAAGTTTACATTTTGAAAACACACATGTGTTGGGAGCACAGGTGGCCTTCTGCGGCACCTAGTTGCGTCCCTTAGTTGTGCATGGATCAAGTGATCGTGAGTCCTTGATTACTTTAGGTAGGTAGGTTTCACTGAAATGGATATAGATGCCGTGATATACCTGAAATACTGTTCAAAGCTCGTTACTCTCAACTCACTCATACCAGACGTTCATGTCACGAAAATAAAATCAATATTAACAGTAATGACTAATTATTATGCCTTTAACATGGTTGGTGCGAGTTTGTTATAGGAAAATTACTATTAGTAACATTTTTTCGGCGTCTCCTGCGTAATTTTCATTTCATATGGTTTGACATTTGAATACATGTACAAGCCAATCTCCCGAAGGACACAGTGCCATCTTTCCTGTCACCTCTCAGCTTGGTTCTTGGAATTCGTTTCTCATAATTCATTTATTTCATAAATTAACGTTGAAAAGGAAAACTAATTGTATTATTCCAGTGCATCGTTTCATGTAGATGACACGATGACGTGTTGAGGTGTCTCAATCAGTCGGAAAATACATTTTGCTGCATCGGGGGATTGCAGATTCGTATAGGCCCCGGAAAATACGTTATACTTCGGAATTCCTTGATAGTTAATCCTATCAAGCAAGTCCTGTGTAGGATTACTGGTTGAATTTTTTTAAGAATCTAATACAGGATTGGTATATTAGTAGAAACATTGCCTGAAGATCGTGAGTTAAAATAGAGATATATGTAATACGATAAACAAATTTACGGCGACGCCATAGAGCCCGACCACCCGATCCAATTTTCAGTTGGCTCTTACACACCACTGATGATGAAAAACAAACCTGATTTTGTCATAGTTAAATTTCAGTTTAGTTAGGACACACAAGCCCCCCCCCCCCCCCCCCCCCCCCCCCCCCACACACACACACACACACACACACACAAACTCCCCCCAGTCTACATACGGCACTGACACATCATTCCCTGTCTTGGGCAACTCATTCCCTAGAAATGTTTTAGATTATATTTTGCACGTATAGTTTAGTACATTTACATAATTCAGATGTCCCTCACAACATCACATTTGAAGACTTTTACTTTTTCCAAAAAAAGAAGGTTAGAATACATACAACGTTACGTCGGTCTGCCTTCTCACGTTTAATGTTATAACACATGCTGAGTTTGTGGTTTTGATATTGGACAGAAATACAAATACAACTTGGGCTTGATGTTATACATTCGTTAGTTATGTACACGACCCTCTTTACTTTACGTTAGAAAACAGCTGTATGCCCAGTAAACCGGACAAGTCCCTTAATCTCAGCAATGATATAATCATTTGAGTGTTTAGTCTCCCAAAGTCAAACCTTAGAATGATGCTGAAGATGAGGGAGTTTCTTTATCCACGTCGTAAATGTAACTTAATCGTGGTATGTTTGTAGCCTAAGCATTCATTTACATTTTGTCCCCGTTTGATTTTCGAAGCGTCCAAAGAAAAATGAGACGGGAAATAATAAGTTTAAATGATAGCGTTTCGCGAGAACTGTCAAAAAAATGCGATCTTATCAATATAATATTCATGTATAAGCGTATATTACCTTAATGTTTTAAATCACGAAACGAAAAAATTGAACATAACAACGTTTTTATTCACTAACCCAAACAAATATTCATGATGTACAATGCATAGGCATCAGTGCCGTTTAGTAACGCTCAAAAGAGGACCTCCGCCCAGCAATATGACTTCGATTTCCAAAGAGAACATGACCAACGAAACTGTGTCCGCCAATGAGTCCATGTCTAATAATTCCATGTCCGCCAACGAAGGGCCCTGTCCCACTGAAGCCGTGTCCGCCAACGAAGGGCCCTGTCCCACTGAAGCCGTGTCCGCCAACGAAGGGCCCTGTCCCACTGAAGCCGTGTCCGCCAACGAAGGGCCCTGTCCCACTGAAGCCGTGTCCGCTAACGAAGGGTCCTGTCCCACTGAAGCCGTGTCCGCCAACGAAGGGTCCTGTCCCACTGAAGCCGTGTCCGCCAACAAAGGGCCCTGTCCCACTGAAGCCGTGTCCGCTAACGAAGGGTCCTGTCCCACTGAAGCCGTGTCCGCCAACGAAGGGTCCTGTCCCACTGAAGCCGTGTCCGCCAACGAAGGGTCCTGTCCCACTGAAGCCGTGTCCGCTAACAAAGGGACCAGCATGACCAGCACCGTGTCCAAAACGATGTCAAACCAAAGGTCCATGACCATTGCTGTAATCGTAGTTGTTGTAGCTGTAAGGGTAGTAGCCGAAACCAGAACCGTGACCGTTGCCAAAGGAGAGTGTCAAGAAACCCATGCTTGTTATAACAGGAGTTATCGGGTGGTCAGGTTCGCTGACTTGGTAGATCACGATGCATGTCATGGTGTCCCAGTTACGAAGATCGATGCTTATTCTTTGATTGTCTGGTCCAGGCTGATAATTTATAGACCGCCATCATATAGCTGGAATATTACTTAGTGAGGCATTAAGAAACAGAACAAACTTGCTGATTAAAGAGGACACACGCCGCTTGTAATTAAATGGAATGATTACAAAAGATAATTGAAAGTCAGTAACATTGCAATCATAGCAAATATCTATATAATAGAACCTAACATAGTTTCTTTTACCTTCGTGCATCTTCGATCACCCAGTGTATTATATCTCCATTCTAGTATAATGAATATGAAGATACATGAATTATACACCGGATCAACGAGGGTGGACATCGTGATTCATGTTTTCATGTAATCACCTAACTACGTCTTGCACTTTTGTAAAAGGTTACGTGCATCGCTGGAGCTGTTTTGTGACTACAGAAAAAAGATATATGATCTCTGACATTATGATTTTCTGATCAATCCGAACTCGGCCGTTGTTTGAGATTGAGCTCTGCTGCCAACTATAAGTGAATAAAACATGTTCAATACCAACGAAATGTCAGATTGTCATAGATGTACATCGAAGAATTAGTTATTCAGACAGTTCGCTTTTGCTTACGGCAGAAAAGGAATGTGTTTGCGCAACAATATTTTAATCGACGATGTCAGTTCATTGCAGTCTGTCTACAATCCGCCTTAGCATCAGTATGACGATATCATTCTACTAAAATTCGGTATAATAACTTCACAAATCGTGTCCTTCAGAACAAAAAGAACACTGCGAGACTAAAAACGTTCATGAGAGAACGTGTCTTGTTTATAAATCTTCAAGTATGAATAGAAGATGAATATCATTTTGTACTGATGTGGAATTCTGGCTCTACGTCAAAAGAACATGTATCTCGTGGAAAATAACGTGTACATCCTAATAAATGAAAACTCAATGAACTAACGTCTGATCAAGATCGAGTGAACACATGAGCTTGCTATTTGCAAATACAAAGTAATGCTGTCAGTAAACACTTTAACTTAAAAATAATTTACTACACTTATCATGGTTCTCTTTAACCGTATGAATACAATACATGAGCTGATTGCCTCATAACAAACAAAATAACTTCTTCTTCTTCTGTTTCTTCATAATGTACGTACCTGGTTCGTAACTAAAGCGTAGGGCTAAACGATGTACTGTTGCCTTATTAAAAGATAACTGAGATCATCTCAGTTCAAATGTGTCTCTGTTCACCCAGCAGGGAATGGGTACCCGATATGTGAGGTGGGTGTAATTATAAAAACCTTCTAGCGCCCGTTGGCAGCTTGGGTTGTATTCTCCCCAGGGAGTTGAAAATGATAACTGGAATGGAAAAGGACCCACTGGTCGGGGACACATATAACCGCATTTGCATATATAATACTACCTGGGTAAACGTGGTATATAAATGTATATAATAATGATATTTTTTATAATATTAATAATAATAATAATAATGACAATAATCTGTTGACAATGAAAATCACTAGTTCTCATGAAAGGGACATAAAAGAATTTACAGATTGTTTTGCACACAACGAGTACCTCGCCAGACAGACCAGGGTACCTTAACCTCGTCCTTTTAAAGCGTAACAGTATCTAAAAGAACCCACCTCAAATATTTTCTCCATTTAAACTGCTGTACATCTCAAATAAGGAAAGAAAATAATCGGTATTTGAGCATGACCTATGGAAGGTAAAACACATTGCAACCCATAAGCCGAAATGAATATCAGAACAATGTATATCTATGGGGATCAATCGACAACCCACAGAAACACTCGACTTCAATCTTCAAAGAAAGGACTTATGAATTGCTTCTAAGAAATATAGCCAATGATGACATGATCACAGTCACGTTTGACTTTCAGTTTATGTCATTCGAAATCAACAGCTTCACACGGTTAAAGTTTCACACAGAGTATAGTCAGTGTATGCATCGCTCGTCAGATGGGTCAGAGGGCAGTCATGAATCAGAATTATGTAATCAAGGATAGGATCAAATTTTACGACAACCAATCATTACCATATTCATTAGGCCTGACAGTGAGATGTCCTTATGTATATGTGATTGGACCAACTGTATTTAGGAGATGCACTGACCTTGGCTTCCTTACCGGAGTCTTTCAGATCAGACTGGTACCATCCTTGCAGGGCACCCTCTTACAATCATGAAGGTAATACCATGATGGAAATAAATCACTGGTTTCACATCATTTGAATTCAGTAGTATGACGACATATATTCGTAAGTGTCAATTTTATGTGGGAAAGGTTCAACGAGAAATTGATGTAATTGACAGACAAAAACGATTCAACGTTAAAGTTTGATACAGAAGTATATGGTACTAAAGGATGAATGTTTATATATGTACCAGTAACCGTCAACATTTTGGTATTTTTCGTACATCATATTATGATGAACATTACCGTTTTACAACTGTGTGATATATTGTAATTCATGTATGTATAAGACGCCCGGTAACCTGTTCTGGTCGTAGGCGTCGACTAAATTGGATCGGATGATCGAACTCTGTGGCCTTGTCATCGGACACTCACTCATTCACTCACTCACACACCGTTATTCATTCCAGGTCACGCTCATTGTCTGCGCCGTGGTTTGTTCCTCTACCCTCGCTGTGGGCCCAGGGTACCTCGGCCTTGTCTTCAATGGAGGACTTGGCCTCACCAGAAGACATGGCTTCAACATGGGCCTTGGTCTCAACAGATTCGGTGTGGGCGGGGTTGGCAATGGTTTTCCTGGCAATGGTTGCTTTGGCTATCATAATGTTTATGGCAAACGCAAAGGCTACAATTACAACGGATACAACGGTCTGAATGGACATGGTCTCCTTGGAAACGGTCATGGTCATAGCAACTGTGGCTACAATGGCTTCAATAGCCTTCTTGGTTTCGGATTTGGAAAATTCGGAGGTGTTTACCCTTAGTGTAACCTCGAACTATGTGATAGCTATATATACAGTATACTATCCATGAACACTATTTTTACATATCATTTTACTTTATTGTGAATAAATGGTTTCTTAAAAAAATTATCTGGACTATTGTTGGTGAATATCAAGTCATTTTAAGCAGCCAGCATTAACAATTTTGGATCACGTATATTATCCAAAGAGATGAATGTACATTAATCACATGTACAGTGACATACACACTCTATTACTTTAATTGTTTAATTTGTGCCTTGGGCACGCCAGAAACATTTGATCTTGGGGTCAAACCCCGGTTCGCCCCGATTATGTTTCTAGGTTTGTCAGCACCATACCCGTGCTCGTGGGTTTCACCAAAGTGGCAAATGTCAAAGACTTGCATCACTTCGGGCTTTCCTCCTACAGTAAGCTGACTCGCTATGATAACTGGAGTACTGTTCAAAGCATCGTAAATCGAAACTCTAACTCACCTATACTCTAATTAGTCTTTGTGGGACACAAAATAGCTATACATTGATATCCACGACATACCCACGGATATAAATGCGTCTTGTATTGATCGAGGTCTTCGTCTTTGGAAGAGAATAAGCTCGAAACGATTCAATGGAAATTGTTCAGATATACCCCGCCTCCCAGGCTTATGAGTAAAGAAATCCAGATCAATGATGGAGACAAAGGTGTTAATACAGCTATCCATAATCTGGTCTCTTCAATTCTATGTGTCACACAATCTAATCCATAGTGAGAGAAAGCCATGCGAAAGAGAGAGTATAATTCTGAATTATGCATAAAAGTGATCCGATTTGCTATTTGAAGGAATATTTATGCTATAACTTTTTTGACTGTATAGTGCTAGCCCAATGAGATACCAGCGCTGCTTAACATGCATATCCCACTCAGACACAGTATACTGACTCAGAGCCGACCAGCCCTTCTTTTTAGCCCCTTAATGTTGACCTTAATGGTAACAACAAGGACCCTCTTTTAACGTCTTTTGGTATCACGCGGCCGGGTATCGAACACACGACCATCCGTTCTCCGGACAGACGCTCTATCCATTAGACCACGGAGGTGATGTCGCTGTATAAAGTCAATATATACTGCAGCAGCTATATTGTTTTGAACAATGAAAAACAACACTGTAAGTGGCAACCCTAGATTCGCCATGGCCCACCTACTATGGATGCGTGTAAAGGAAAGATGGTCATTCGGGGACTTCAGCCAGGCCCCGCCTACCTCTACCGCATCCTCTTCCCCAAACATCAAGGGATCCCGATGTAACTAAAGGACCTCAAGCGCAATATAATTGATTCACGTTCTACGCCTAATCTACACGTAAGTGTAGTACTTAGTTTTCAGGTTTTCCCTAAAGTACTATGAGATTTAGCAGTAATTCTTAATATTCATCATCTGCCATGATAATGGAAATCAGTTTTCGATTGTTTAAATAGAAAAATGTGGCTTAATTATACCATTCACAAACAATTAGTGTAGATCGGAAACAATAGGAAACCGCCAGTTGCTCACATTGACTTTCATCTCATACTAAATCATTTAAATAACTGACTGAGAGGGTATGCTCTGTCCGCCATGCCCTAGGCGTAATCCTTTGACCTTTGTAATACCTCTTTTCCAATAACCCCTTGTGGTTAAAGACGCCATGATCTTATGTCATTAGCCCGTAACAACCTCTTTGTGGAACTCGTGAAAAACTTTACAAGCCATGATGAAAATATCGAGTTTGAATAATCCTTTGTCCTCCGATAACTGAAAGACACCCTCTGTCATTAGTAGATCATGAATATTTCCAGATGAACTTGCATCTGTGTTTTGATGTCCTCTTTAAACAGAGAAAATACGTTTATTTTACGATTCACTCGAGAACGTACTTTAAAGGTTCTATGCAACACTCCTTAAAAGAAGAACGTGCGCGTCTCCAAGGCAATGATATGGCGACTACCTGCTGCAGCTGTTCGTTGGGTGGTTTATCTAAGAGGTTGTCGAATTGTTACATTATTATGCTATTAATATGGTAATGAATAGAAAAGTAGCTATGAAACTCAAGGGAAATGCTAGTTATTAACTACGTAAGAAAGCACATCATTTTAACATAATAGATTTTATCACAATAATGTGAACATGTACCCGGCAAGCTTAAACGACGAGCCTTCTCTCTCTCTCTCTCTCTCTCTCTCTCTCTCTCTCTCTCTCTCTCTCTCTCTCTCTCTCTCTCTCTATCTCTCTCAGTCGTCTAAGGCACCGCGATTCGCTGCGCAGAGTTGCGTCCCTTCGGCACGCCAGAAACCTATGATTGTGGGTTTGAATCCCGGTTCGCATCGATTTTGTTTCTAGGTTTGTCAGCACCATACCCGTGCTCGTGGGTTTCACCGAACTTGTAAACGTCTGAGACCTGCATCACTTTGGGCTTTCCTCACACATTCAGTTGACACACTGTGGTATAACTGGAATATTGTTAAAAACGGCGCTAAACCAAACTCACTCAGTCACTCTCTCTCATTCCTCCCCTCCATCTTACATTCAAAGCAGTTGCTTTAGTCAAACGATCCAATCAAAGTACCACTTACACTATAACTACAGTGTACACTATATCTACACTACTTGTGAACAAACTAAATCAGTTTCAACATCGTATTTACTTCAAATTGAGTCTCTTTATTGTGGAATATTTCATTATCGATGGATTAATAGAAGGAATGTTCCAAATATTGAATATCGCTTTATTCGTTATTTGCTTGTAATTTGTAAATTAAATTAAATTACACGGGGATTATATGATTGAACGGTTAATTGTTATACAATGTATAGACTATATACACCTAAAACAGCGTACTACCATATTGTTACCAAGTTGTAATCATGTCAAAACAAATTATTTTTTTTGTTTAACGCCGCACTAAGCAATATTCCAGCTAAATGACGGCGGTCTGTAAATAATCAGACCGGGTGCTTAGACTCGATTATTTACCCACCGACGTCATTTAGCTGTAATATTGCTGACTGCGGCGTTAAACAGCAAACAAAATGCAAATGATCGAATCTGGACCAGACAATCTAGTGATTGGCATCATGAGCCTCGATCCACGCAATAGGGATACGATGACATGCATCAACCAATTGCAAGTCAGCGAGCCTGATCACCCGATCCCGTTAGTCGCCTTTTAAGAAAAGCCTAGTCGCCTGTTACGGCAAGCATAGGTTGTTGAAGACCTATTCTATCCCGGATCTTCACGGGTCCAAAACATATATACCTACGTGTAAGTCGAATAGAGTTCATGATGCAGGATAACGTTACCGGGTTTTGCCACAAATTGAATTGAATAGTAAATTCATGATTGTGAACACCTGATCATACACAACTGCATGTCGTTTGGCTTAATACTTCTGTCTATAACCAAAGCTTTTATCCATATGCCAAATTTATCGAACCTTTTCCGATCCGATCCGAAAAAACATGTACATGAGAAAATAAAAACGTAAGGCGTGAATGAATGACTGAATAAATAATGTTTAACTTTGATGTATTTTAATCTAACAATAATAATTTTAAATGGTGCAGTTATTACTAGACATGCCTGCGCAAAAACACTACTGCATAAAAAACAACTTATGTCCACGCTTTGACTCTTGCTAAATGACAGACATACATACACATGAATTGCCTTTGAAAACGACTGGTACCAGCTACAGGGTGATAAAACTTGTTTCCATGTATACTTATATTGTCGCAAATTTTAGACTTTTACAATGCATGACGTACACGTATGTTCAAAGAAGAAATTTAGCAATGTCCAAGAATATATCCGGGAAGTTAATATATTTCATCCTTCTGCAAGTACGGGAACGAACGTGGATATATGATCGATCAAATGGATATAACAAACTATTCAAGTTGTCCTGATTGCAGCTGAAGAAAGGAAACACCATCTATGACTATTAAGTTTTGATTGTTTGTTATTTAGCGCTGCAATAATCCCCTATATTACGGCCTGTGTAGGCCTGTCTGAACCAGACAATCCACGGATCGATGCTTTGAGAAACGATATTCACCCTCGGGTACCATGACACGCCATCAGCCAAGTCACTGAGCCTGACCATCCGTTCCATTTGGTCACCTCTAACGACATGCACACATGTGTTGATACATCAACAGCATTAATCTGAGAGTAGAGGATGTTAGCAACGTTGAGTTTGTGTGATCTGACGACCAGTTCGCAATTGATTCGCCAGTATTAATGTTAACACCATTGAATGAACGAGTGAGTGAGTGAGGTTTTACGCCGCTTTTAGCAACTTTCCAGCAATATCCCGGCGGGCGACACTAGAAATAGGCTTCACACAATGTACCAATGTCGGTCTCCGACCGCCCCTTGAAAGAACGACTGAAAAAAACTGTTAAATAGATTGAAAACATTTTTTGATGTTTTTTAAAGTTTTCAATTATCATTTCAATCCAGAGAATGGTGGACATATTCTTTAGTTTCACGAATAAAGAACAAGGGTTATAACGAACTGATTTTCATGGTGTCTAGGTGTTCGTAATAACGAATAGTGTTACTATATGCACAACATTAAAAGCACAATTCTTGGCAAGATTAAGAAGTCATTTGGAAAATGTTAATAAAACCCCTTGTTAATATAAAGTAAATAATGTGTATGTAATTTTTTGTGTATGTCCATAAAAAAATGTATGGACATAACATTTTGTTTTGTAAATAGTTAATCGCCAAGACGAAACCACTGAACAATTCTGTTTATACCCAATGGTTAACAATAACATAGAACCTCCATCTGAAATAATTCAACGAAATTTAAATACCGTGATCACTGTAAACGCAAGATTAATGGGGATAATTTTAAGTGTGGTGAGCTTATCGCTAAGAATACGTTGCAATGGCAACCAAGTAAGGTACGCCCAGATTTCCCCATGGGGCGGATCGCCCGTCGGTAATATACAAACATTAAACTTTATGTCAGTTTGATTGCTACATTGCAGGGGAAGCCGGTTATCAAACTTGTTTATTCTCCCATGACGCAATACAAATGCCATCAATATACAGTATGTTGTGTAACTGTGCTCGAATTATTCTTATAGTTTCCCTTCCATGTTTGTGCCTCACCCTTCATCTTTAGCCGACTTTAATTTCAAAGTATCACCAGTATTATATTATAAAAGCTTTTGAAAGAAGTCAGTTTAACTAATAGTTATAACACGAAGAAATAACCTTTCAATTCTATTTGTTGATAAACGATGGCTGTTGTCATCAGACGTAACAATCGTGTTTAGGTCATTGTATGTATTTAACTATAAGTTTGGCTTCAAAAATGAGTTAACTTATCAGGGAAAATGTAACATGTTTTTAACTATAAGGACTATATAAATTGAATTCGAGCCAACCGGGAATTCAGCAAATCCGAGTTGGAGACAACGAGGTTCAACCGTGTATAATTAAACAAATGTGAGTGGATTTGGATACGTATATATATGCATCTAAGTATACATAATAAAAGAGCGATATCACGTTTCTCATTTGCTTTGTATCTTAATGACCCAACTCTCAAGCGACTCAAACAGTGGCAAAATTTGTTTATCAGCGTTATTTGGTTTTCATACATTGTTAAATTGATATAATCCAAGAAGAGATACTTGTACATTTAGAACCGATTCTCATTTCGGTGACAAGCTCTACAACAGCGCTTGTAATATGGTAGTAATGTGACTGTATATGTTTTGACCAAATATGACAACAATGTTTTCGAGATAATACAATATTGTAATAGGTATTGATGATTTCACGTTTACCGTAGGTATGAAATTGAATTACAAAGACCGACAACATTAAAGTGGTATATTGGATGTTGTTCGTTGTTTTATTAACGCAGAACTCTTCAATATTCCAGCTATATGTAGTCGGGCTTGTATACTGTGTTTTTCAACTGAAATGACCTGATTATGCAGTGCATGTTCTGTAATTTGGAAGTTATGTATGTTCGTTGGCTTGTGTTCATGAAGAGTCAATACCTCGATGAGCATGCGTGATCAAATGTGTTATTACTATTCCAACAATTGCAGCTAAATAAGACCACAGTTTTAGTCAAATCCGGATTGACCAGCATATAAGGTAAAGCCAGCACTGATTTGTAGTCATCAATCCTTGTGTTTGCATTATTATACATTCAGATAAAACAGCAGATACGGTCATATTTATCCATCAATATAGTTCCCAACTCTGGCGTTAACTAGTCTGGTGTGATATGCACCTCATAATTAGATGATAATTAAATAGTATTAAATCTGTAAAAATATTTAAGCTGTGTTCATGGAACAGAGTAATTGAGAGAGGGAGTATAGTTTCACGCCGCGTTTAATAATATTCCACCAACAATACAGTAAGGACACCAGAATGGGCTTCTCACAATGTACCAATATGTGGAATCGAACCCAGGCCTTCGGAGTGACGAGCGAATGCTTCAACCATTAGACTACCCCACCACCCCAAAAATTAAGACTCTAATGATAAGAGTCATTGTCTCTTCACACACAACACAATTGTCTATGTGACATATGCAATCTTTATTCAAACAGGAATAGTGCACTACACGACTGCTCCCTTTGATGCACAGAGATACTAGTCTGCACATTTTACCCCAACCGAATAAGTTAAATACCACATGATAGTCAAATGTCTTTAGAAAAGGGGTCCTTTGGAACCTAGGCCAAAGCCAAATTGTGGTTTAGACCCAAAAGATGATCTGAAAGGTTTGGGTTTATTGAATGAACTTCCGAAGGAGGAACTAAACAGTCCTCCTGATCGGGGCACGGATGTCCGTTCACCGGATTTGGGAGCATAGCTTCTTCCAAATTTACTGTTACCTCGTCCACTTCCATGTCCAAAAGAACCGAAGCTGCCAAACAGACCATTGCCGAAACTACCTGTACCATGGCCAAAGAGGCTGCTTCCAAAGCTATTGGCATGGTTATTTCCGTAGCCAGATTGACCATGGTTATCCAGATTACCAACCCGCCTTTGACCGCCGAAGTGTTGACTTCCAGTGCTGCCATAGGAACCAGCGTTGTTGTTGCTGTTACCGTTTCTGTAGCTGTTACCTCCTTGGTGAAGGTTATTGGAACCATGGACATCATCTCCCTGGTGGATATTGTTGGAACCATGAACAACATCTCCCTGGTGGATATTGTTGGAACCATGAACATCATCTCCCTGGTGGATATTGTTGGAACCATGAACACCATTTACAGCACCAGAAACACCGTGGACTTCATTCCTGTTGGCCCCGGTAACAACGTTGCCATGAAAGTCATTGTCGTGGGCTCCAGAAGCAATGTTTCCTAGAACACCGTTTTTATCATCTCTGTAAGCAGCCGATGACCCAATGCCGAATCCATCGTTAAGACCAGTTCCGCCAAGGATGCTGCCGCTAGACTGTTTCTCCTGAGCCTTGGCATTCTTGTAACCATCAGCACTGACTCCAAAGGCTCCAATGGTGTTGTCATGGAGTTTTTGCTGTTTCTGCTGCAGGGAATCCTTTTGGTTCTTGAAGTCAGACTCAGCAATATCCTTCTTGTTTCCATGAGCCTGCTGGGCAGCCTTGTCGAATGTATGAGCATTGATGTTCGACTTGGCTGCTGAATCCCTGTTTGCTTTGTTGAGGCTGAATCCACTGGATGCTTTCTTAGCATCCTGGTAGTTGTCTTTTCTTGAAGCAGCATTATGCTTGGCAGATTTGTGGGCGTTATCAAACTGGCCCTGTTGTTCCTTCTGAGCAGCTTGTGTATTGCCAAACTCATTTTCGACCCTCTTTCTGTTGTACTTGAGTCTTTCAAAGTTATTGCCTCCGGACTTCTTGTCATGGTAGAACCTCTTTAGTTTCTTGAAGTTTTCACTCTGATCGTGCTGCCTCCTTTTTAAGTTTTCTTTGTCAAAAAGCTCCTCGTCGAGGTCGTGTTTGGCAGCTTTGGCATTGGACTGGGCAGCAGCATCAGCATATTTCCTATCATCCCCGGAAGCAGCCTTAGAAGCATGACTGTCCTTATCGCTGAATCCATTATTTTCGGCGTTGTGTACTCCCTGTGCAAATTTGCCATTTCGCTCGTTCTTAAGACTCTTGATTTGGGCAAAGTCCTGCTTCTTCTTAGATTGATCGAACTGCTTCAGGGCGGCATCTGATGTTCCTGCTTTCTGGGCAAGATGTTCTTTGCCCTGGTCAACTTGGTTTTGGTTTTCTCCGTACTGATGGCCATTAGATCCGCCAGTTCCCTCACCATGAACTCCGTTTACATCTACACCATGGCCCCCAACACCGACAGACCCGTGACCATCATTGCCATGAGCTCCATAGTATTTCTTGTCAGCATGCCCTTGAGCTCCAGCATGACTAGCAGCAGCCTGGCGACCAAACAGATTGTCCTTCTTAGCAAATTGGTTGGCATTGTTAACAGCTTTCTGTTGCCCTTTGTCCTCTTCGCTGAACTTACTGTCTTTTCGATCATAAAGGATCGCCTGAGCATCATTGGTTGTACCAGCCTTATCAAGTTTCTTATCGTTCTTGCCGTATTTACCATGAGCAGCTTGCCTCTGGGCAGCGTTCTGGTTGAACTTGCTTTCTTTAAGGGCGTGTTGTGCATCTTGTCTTGCATTGGCAGCTGAATGATCCCCTCTGAGAAGTTTCCTTGCCTTTTCCTTGTCTTGCAGTTCATCCAGCTTGTGTGATGTGTGTCCAGATTCTTCCTCAAAGCCTCCTTTCTCGCTCAGGTCTTGGTTGAACTTCTTATCGAAACCGTATGAGATGTTATCATTGAAGACCTTGCCTCTGTTATAGGCGTTCTTCTTAGCAGCGGCGGAGTTGTATCCACGGGCTCTGTTATCATCCACGTTGTCATACTTCCCCTCAGATGCAGTCTGATGGCCTCTCACCTTGGATGCATCGGCAATTTGGCGAGCAATCTCGTCATATTTGGCATCTTGTTTGGCGAAGTTCTGTTCTGCTTTGTTGCCATGTGCTGATGCTTTAGCGTTATCTTGTCCAAAACCGCTGGCATGGCCGTTATATTTGTTTCCACCCTGGAAGAAACGATCTCTGGCGCCCCCAAAACTGTCGTGGTCTTTTAAAGCTTTTGTAGACTTGGCTTGATTCTGTGCATGACTGCTTTCCTGGAATACGCCTCTGAATTTGTCAGAACCGCCACCGCCGTAGCTGTTGATGTTTGTGTCCGCCAGTACCACGGCTGCGTACAGTGCTGTCACCAGTGTAGCGTAGACAGCCTGTAACAATAAACAAGTTGTAACTTACAATATATAAGCAGCAACATCATCAATGCCATTCTGTAGCCATTTGTGGGGTCAATATTGTCCTTACACCATGGTATGGTCAGATGTTTAGTCTACACGATGAAGTATTTGACTATTAGATTGGTATACATCGCACAAAAAGAGAGCCAAGGTGATGTTTAAACTACTACCACTGCCAATTTGTATCACCCTCGGGCTAAAATCAACCGTTCACGACATAACTATTTTCAGTTTGCACATATAGAGAGTAGGCTCTGTGTAAAAGAATATATATAGATAGTATACAAGTCTGAACTTTCATCACTAATTTATGTATGGCAATTTGAAATATTTAAATGATGAATTTAGTCAAAGAGTTATGAAGGTTCCCGTTTCACCAATGCTTCAGGTTTGTAGATTCGGCCACAGCCATATTTATTGTAACTTTTAAACATGTTATCAGTAAGGACTGTATAGTAACCGGTAACACATCACATATTATACTTCAAAATCATATGGAAAGTTTGTACAATAAACCAAATAAATAAAAGCGACAAACCCTTTCCATAATCATAAGAAATATCTACTAAAAGCAGAGTCCACTGTACGATTCCGACTACAAAAATATACGAAATACAATTCGGGCTTTAGACCACCAGGAACCGGAGTTGCTAAAAATGCGACGATCGCTAAAGCAACCCATTATTTATTTTTTATTGTATTTCTTATCTTCTATCTCAACCAACAAGAAAAGAAGCGGGTGATATGAAATAAGTTAAAAAGGATAAAGAAATTAAAAACTGTTTTTCACTATTTGTGCAACTTATCTCATGACAGTTTAAAGTTTAAAACATATGGCACCAGTCTTTAAAATAGTTTATGATGTATATGAAGTCGCTTTGCTTCGGAAACGACTGTTTAATTAATAAAGCTGATGAAAGATCAGGCTGACATGAGTTTTTTCATGAGTGTGATCGGGGCATAACTTCACTAGCGCGGCGGGAAAAAAATAAATAAAAACATTTTCATTATTATTGTGGATGGTGGATAAGGACAGCCTGACTGGTAACTATTTGTTTCTACGCATCGACAAAATATTTTTTTCTGTACATGTAACTTTTCTTCAAACATAATATTTCTGGTAGTATTAAAATATTTGACAAGACGTATAAATTAAATGGTTTTGTGACAATTTCATCTTGAAAATATTTCATATATATTTCATGTGTGTATAGCGCTTCTCAAAAGGAGACACCTACTTTAATCGATTGTAATTAAATCTTTTAAAAGAAGCATGGTGAATTTCTGCAAACAGTGGATAACCAGTTATTTCTAATATTATAAATTCACCAAAATGGCTGAATTTAAAATGAAAAACATAATTGAATTAGAAAATGTATAACAATTTTGTGTAAATACAAAAAAGGATTAGTATTAAACTTACCTTCATGATTGCAATTCCCGTTTGGGATAGCGTAGAAACAGAAATATTACAGCGGCCGTATACTGTGTTGTGACCACTGGTTCAATGCTGTTGAGAAGGTAGAGAAGCTGTTGTTTGAATGAAACCACAAACCGGCAACTATTTATAAGAAGGTCCCACACACCCATAAATCTTATGACATAAGTCCTACAAGCTACCCTTTGTCAGGTTAACAGGAAATATGCTTAACCCGGAAATAAAATTTATTGAGATTGGTAGGGGGTAGGATGGTCAGTGTACCATTGTGCCGTAAACGAGTAAACTTTGACTGGGCTAAACCAATAAAATCGGATTGGATTTCATATTGAACGAGCAGAATATGTTTAACATGTACCAAGTTCATTAGAAGTAAATCACACTCGGTATATTCTCATAATATTTTCAGAGGCAATGAAACATTCATGAAATGAATTTGCATACACGTCACTTCGTTTCCTTATAGGAATTAGTGGACATTTAAATAAATCAACTGAGACTGGATTATGTTGATTCACTATAAGTGAATTTGAAATCTGGTTTATGAATGTACAATATGGCTTTACAAGCCAGTATGGTAAAAGTAGTACTTATTCTTCCATTGCTGATCGTAAGAAAGCATCATTCCACTTCCTTTCAGAATATTTGGCTTGTAAAATCTGTCTTGTTCATTATACAAAAATACATCCAAATCTGAGAAGGCGTATCTTAAAAGTGTTAATTTCAGAATACATTATTATTACAATAACAAACAGAAATATGAATGCAAACTGCAAGTAATATTATTATCCGATGGTGAAAACGAAAACATTATCAAGGGAAAATGCAATATCAGACTCTGAAACATTATTTTTCTCCCAGCTTTATTTTATAAACTGTTTATATACAAATGTATTGGATGGGGGTAAGATGGTCAAACAGGATTTCAAACAATATCACTAAACCGCTGTGATCTTCTAAAAACTAAAGAAATACCTAATGATATTTGTCCCAGAATAGTATTTTTATTTTTTCTTACAATAAGTATAAAGAACGTTCACAAAAATATCACTAAAAAAGGTTATAAAAAACACAAGGCAGGGCCATAAAGTTAAATTCTTACTGGGGCTTCTTTCACACATGAAGAACAAATGTGTAAAACAGTCAAAAAAGTGTGGAACCTGTCCTCATGTTTTACAAAGTAGTTCTTAAATATTCAAAGAGGGAAAAACTTCCTATGTCCGTGGAAATATGAACTCTGCTTCAAAAAGGTGGTTTATGCAATAAAATGCGCTGTAAGGAAGAATACTTTGGCCACACCGCGGGGTAAGAGGGTAAGAGTCCAACGATAACAGATACGGGATGCCTCTTGTGGTTGTTTGTCACTTAGTCAACACATTGATCAATGTACAAGGACTCAAGAACTAGATAATTTTATTGTGATATTCCTGTTTTAAGAGATATTGTGGGAAAATGATGCACTAAGGAATATAAAGTCAAGTTATTATATTTACACTTATAAGCCTAAATCAAATGACCTCAATAATCAATCTATACAATTATTTTACTTTGTCCTGCTGCTGTAACACTAATTTGTGTATTTATGTATTTATCCGGCTTTGTCTTGTGACGTCATAATGTTAGAATGCACTGTGACGACAAAATAATGTAACAACCTACACACCTACATACCTACCTACCTACCTACCCATCTGTCTATCTATCAATCTATAATAATGGGGTTTCACTGCACTGATTGGATGAGACATGACGTCACGATGGCATGATATGACATCACAATGGAATGTCATTAAATCATGTTTGTTTAGTTTAGTTCAAATCACCGACCCTGACCACCCGTTCCATTTAGTCATCTTTACTATATATTTACCCAGAACCCCCACGAGTTTATTTATGCCATGATTCAATTGATGACGTCATGCTTCCGTGACAACTGCCCCCCAAATGTATAGCAGAATGTGGACAAAAATCAACTAAACAGCTTTTTTCTTAATATATATATATAATTTAATGTAATTGTGTGTGTGTATAGGCACACACACACACACACACACACACACACACACACACACACACACACACACACACACACACACACATTAAATTATATATTGCTCAAATTTAATGTAATTGTATCAGTGTGACATCCATTTCACCAAGCAAAATGGTACGTTTTTCAAATTTGAGATTGCAAAGAAATATACGCATCAAAAGTATTCAGACTTACGTCATACTATTACATCTGTAATCATATGAGTAATATCGTAATACGTGGGGTGAATCAAGAAATAATAAAACTATCCCTATCAAAGTTGAGTTGCATATATTCCCAACTCTGTAATGGCCCAAGTCAATCTGTTAAAGGATGTAAACCTCATGACCAAAATATCAAATTTCCGAAATTGGGACAATATGTCTGAGACTCGAGTGTACGATCTGCATGCACGGCTGTAGTGAGTGAGTGAGTATGTTTTACGCCGCTTTTAGCAATATTTCAGCAATATCACGGCGGGGGACACACGAAATGGGCTTCACACATTGTACCCATGTCGGGAATCGAACCCGGCTCTTCGGCGTGACGAGCAAACGCTTTAACCACTGGGCTACCCGACCGCTCCTGCACGGCTGAGAGGCGACATGACAGCAGAGTGTTTATAACGGTGCCTTCCTTAGACCCTAAACGTGAGCTAAAGTTGGTGCATAACAAGCTGTTTACATCCCTGATGCGCTGGGTGATCCGTCACAGAGTTGTACAGTATACGCAACACGCTGAATTGCCACGTAATAGTCTGCAGAAGACAGCGTCAAGTACATTTAGGAACAAGACACACAAATTGATCTGTATATTGCGTGACACACTTGCAGTGATCTTAGATATTTGGAAGTCTAACTGGAGAATTGGTTTCATGCAGATAATCTCTCAAACAGCACATACATTCATTCTCAGCTGTGTTCTGTTCTCTAACGATGCTCCTGCAAGGTTTTTTTGTCATCATGTTTATGTTTTATCGCTAGTTCAAATGTAGCATAGTTTTAAGTTTTTTAAAGAAAGAGGAAATATTACATTTGGATTCAGTTGATGATGGTTCCTGGTTTGCTTATAAATGTAAGGTTGTTTTGATAGTTTACAGACATTTTAAACGTCCCTATCGTGACTAAACACAGACTGACACTGAATGACACATCTGGTGGACTGCACCGGTGGTAAACATTTCAACTACACTCCATGACATCTGCAGCATAAACACCTGAACATTTCCTAAATGTTCTTTAGACATGAAAAACATGTACAATCCCTGCTTGACATCTTAAGCACAAGAACAAGTGGAGTTCGAGCTCCAGGCGTTTCCTCTGACCGAACATCCAGCTTTGGACACAATGAGTCTCCTGAATAACATACTGTTTGCGCTGTGTCTTCGTGAAACTGCGATGTTATACATTTAAAGTCAAGGTCGCCGATGTATTTCAGGCATCCGTTTAACGGGTGCTGGTTAAAGGGCAACAACACTCCAACTTTAAAAATATCGAAATATAGATGGCTTTTTCTGTGCTTATTATGGACTATAATCTTGCCTGGTTTGACTTGTGTTCAGCGCTAATAGGCATCTGGTGATTACGCAGGCTAATTAAAGGAGACGACTGAGAGGTTGAGTATCGGTGCCCTTATGGTTGGTGTATATTCACCCAGAGAATGAGTTAGTAATTGAGTGAGTGTAGAATACTTTACACTGCTGTTCCCACAGAGATGGACCAAAAATGGAGTTCATACATTGTAACCATTGAGAATCAAACCCCGACCTCCGAAATGACGAGTCGACGCTGTAACCACGACGTTAACCCATCGCCCCTACATATACTTTGAAGGGATGCGTAAAAAGATCATTTGACATTTGAATTTACAGAATAATAACAGTTGTCATGCCGTGATAGTTCTTCGACCAACACGCAACACATGTAGCAGGAGAAGAAAATGACATCACATCCTACTAGGAGCATATTTCATATAAATATGACAGAGCGGACAATATGATGTGTTTAAGGTTAATATTGCATCAGATATGTTATATTATTTTTAAAAATGAACTGAAATGGCGCTTAGTCAGCACTCAAAGAATACTTCTCCATGGAAATATATCAAAGTATAATTTCATTTAACTTTTAAAAATTAAAAAAATAACTTCCATACTACACAAGTGCTCCGGGGGTCTTCATTGAACCATATTTATTCTTACACAAAATTACCCAACCACAAATTTCCTTTTACAAATTGGGCGATAATTAAATTGTCATTATCACATTTAACAACAGTTTTTTTTTCATTTTTCAGTTGCATGGAAAAATAAACTCGATATACGTTTTTGCCCCTCAGCTTAGGAAAGAGAATTAGATTGTTGACTGTCAATTATTGAAGCAATATAATTGGGTTTGCAAAAACTTTAAAAGGTGTAGATTTACACCCGTTAGTAAACCTCAAACAACAAACTACCTTGTTTATATATTGTCGTGTATATCGACAAAGACATATGCAAACTCAAATTATCCCTGAGTATCATCAGGTATGACTCATGATGTTATTACTTCGAAAAGTCATTTGCATTTTTCAGGCGGCCAAACGTTCAACACTTAATAATTTTTTAATTTGAAGTTTACACGATATACGGCTGTTCCATTGGACGAGAGAGCGGTCACATGACCGCGAAATTGACGTTCATAAGTGTATGAACGACACAATTTGACGTTCATACGTTTTTCACGAGACCGTGTTCTTGAAATGACGTAAACACTGACGGACTACTTCCACATTCCTGGGGAAACCCCTGGGAATTCCCTAGCACGAAAACACACATAAGGGTTCTTTCTGATCATTTAGAACCTTTATTCTAGGTCTCAGCGTTTCAGTATACATTGAGAAATGTCAGAGAGCGTGACTGCATGATTGTTCACGAATATCCTCGCTGCGACCTATCCTAATGAACAAACGATGAAATGCACATCTAAACTATCGTAGTGTCGACTCGATCCGTGCCTAGGCTGACATTGACCTTCTCCAGCAATCTATGAATTTACCTTAGTGTCTGTTTGACGCATCTTTATTCACCTTTCAATGATCGGCCATTTGATCAATGATGACTAACACATGTAACCGCCACACGTTCATTAACAACTTCGGAAATCTCTCCCGTCACGTTTATCGTCAAGCCGAAGACCCGGATTCGATTACCGACATGGATACAATGTGTGAAGCCCACCTATGATAATATTGTATTATCTCGAAAATATTGGCCCATTTCTGGTGATATTGCTGGAATATTGCTAAATCCGGCGTAAAACCATTCTCACTCACCCTCTCACTCAATCACTCACTCAGCTGGTCAATAACAGGTTCTCCGCTATTTGCCTTTTAGTTCGATGGAATATGTTTCGCTGGATTATCGAGACTTTGTATTCTGTGACGTTGATGTTTTACAATTTCTATTATTAATTTCGTGCTCATCGATTTACAAAGAGCAAATAGTTATTTGTAGGTTACGTGATCAATTACAACGGAGTAACAATACTCGATATTTTACACTTGAAAACGGTTGGGAATTATATGTAACATCAGTTTGTTTTGTTTTTGCCACGCTCACCAATCGGATTATCCTATTTTTTCATTAGTCTCGTTAACCGGGATGGTATCATCACCGATAAAATCGTATGAATTAATAAGGTTACGGATTAATGAACCCTTCGTATGTAGTAATGTCCTTCTAAAAAAATAGAGACAGATGCGCAATTAACCAAGTCACCGAGTTTGATCACCCGATCTGTTTGGTCGCCTCTGACGACAAACATAGCTAGGTTGCCGGAAACCTATCACAAAATCGGAATCTCCACAGGGGAGCTGTGAGTCAGAATGAAATGCATGAACCAACTTCATCAACATGGAATAACAAACTTTTCATGACCCATTAATCCAGGATCCGGGTGTTGTTCTAGACACTGATTGGTTAGTATTTCGTTGATATGGCTCTGATTGGATGGTATTTCGTTGGCTTATTCTATTCGTAACATCGAGTTATTGACGAAGATGCAAATTCTGCAGATGTCAAGGAAGTGATGATTTAATCTCCTTTATCACCATATTCAGTAAAAAATTCAAAGTCATAAAATATATGACACCTAGCTTTACAGCAATCAATATGTGAGAGCATCTGTGCATTAAATGAAAAACTCAAATGTATAAATACAGCATGCGTAAATACCCAATGAAGCTTTTTCAGCATGCGTACAACGGAGCTAATTCACTTTCCGAGTCATGCCTATATTTAGAACCTGTATATACATCTAAGACATTTCTTTTTTTTAAATCTCAAAATGTTTAGTCATTTTGGGAAGAAAAACAATAGAGTGATGAATAGATAAAAGAAGAAACATTGGTTACCAAATGAAAAATGTAATAACCCCATTAAACTTGAAACCTTCGAATAAAAACTCAATTGCTCAAAAAGTTATCTGGAGCTCTTTATCTCAGTGGGCTAGCACTACAAAACTGACATACGTCTGAAGTTGTACAGGCAGCCACACACGTGAATACATGTCGCTGTACACGTGTATGTGAAATAATCGTGAATGCGACGTTAACACTCATTTCACCTGACCTCACCTATGGTTTCAGCAAATACTGCTCTTGTGCGTAACCTACATGTAAGACTACGTTAAAGTTTTCATTACACCGAAACAGCTGTTGAGCGGCAAAAGATATTGTGTGCATAAAGTAGTTTTGACAAGCACAGATATCTCGACTCTATTTTTTGTGTATACTTAATGCTTATACACCTGAAGAAATCACTCACAGCGCATTATGTCGCTTGAGACCAATAGCTCACGTTTGACCTGCCAGTGTGCATATAATCCCCTGTCACATATTGTTTTCAGTTACTCTGTGCATTCAAGCAGTAATTTTGCAATATTAAATACATCTCCATGGATACTAACGCATATATGAATACATATAGTTTTTTATGTCTTATGTATCAGTGAATGAGTGAGTGAACGAGTTGGGTTTAAGGTCGGTGTGAACTCTCTTTCAGTGGCGACGGACATTGGCTGCACACATTGCACCCACGTATAGAATCGAACCCGGACCATCGGCATCAAACTGAAGCCAAATCTTTATCCACTGGGCCTTCCGCCGCCCAGCATCAGTGGAGATCCTGGGTAATAAATAGGTAACCAGTAACCTATGATTGTCGTAAGAGGTGACTTAATGGATCCGGTGGTCATGATCAGGCTCGGTGATTTGGTATATTGTATGTAATCGAATATCATTTGTCAGGGTCGATGATCATAATGTCAATGACTGGATTGTCTGGTTCAGACTCGATTATTTACAGTACCGCCGTCATGTAGCTTGAATATTGCTGAGCGCGGCGTTAACAAACAAACAACCCGTATTAGTGAGAAAAATGCGAAACTATGGAGCATTAAATCAGCATCATATTTAGGATAAAGTGAATACCATGGTCTATTTTTTTTAAAACCAGCAATATCTTAACAAAGGGACACAGTCCCTGAATGGATCCACATTGAAAACATCCTTACACCTTTGTTGCCATAGCATGAATATCAGTTGTTGCTTTTAATCTATCATCACTGATTGTTATTGTGTAAATAAAAAGTAAAATAAACAATAATGATTGTATACGATGTTTATTTCAAGTTATAATATACCAACTTCAAACTACATTTTAATTCTTCCTCCAACCAAAGAAGTGGTTTTCAGCGATGGTATTGGTCAACTGGTTCTAGTAAAGACTTCCTTTAGCGCTATGTCTGAACCCAAATTGAGGTTTGGCACCAAATGAGCTAGATCCACCGAAAGAGGAAAAGCCGGAACCAAAGAGGCTTAGGTCACCTCCTCTGTGAGGCACGGAAGACCTTCCGCCTGATTTAGATGCATATGTTCCACCAAAGGAATTGCCCTTATTCTGACCGAAGGAACCAAAGTTGCCGAATCCATCATTAAACCCACCGAAGCTCGACCCAAAGCTGTCCCCATGCCCGCGGTTGTTGCCGTATCCAGAATTGACAGAACCAACAGATCCTAGAGTTCTTCCTCTATGTTGGTCACCTCTGTAACCGCCGAAGCTGTTATCGCCAACATTGTCGAAGTGGTTGGTGTTACCTTGGTAGACGGAACCTGGTCTGCTAGCGCCATGGGTGTCAGATCCATGTACATTATTCACAGCTTCGAAACCTCTTCTTGGAGTTCTGTGGGCACCGTTGCTGATGAGGTTACCACTGATGCCACCGCCGTTTCCAAGTTTCACAGTCTCGGCAGCAGCAGCGTTCTTGAATCCCTGGGATGTTGCTGCAGAAGAACCAACAGCATTATCATGAAGATTCTTTTGCTGCTTAGTTAGAGCATCTCTATTGTTGGAAAAGTCAGCCTCTGCAACGTCTTTCTTGTTTCCATAAGCCTGCTGTGCCGCTTTGTTGAAGGCTGCAGCTTGGTTGTTAGCATTTCCATGAGAGAGCTTCTTGGCGTTGTTGACGCTGAAGCCATTGGATGACTTTTTGGCGTCCTGGAAGATATCCTTCCTTTGTGCTTGGTTGTGCTTTGCAGATTTGTGAGCCTTGTCAAACTGGTTCTGGTGATCTTTCTGGGCAGCTTGTGTCTCTCCAAACTCGTTCTCGACCCTCTTCCGGTTGTAGTTGAGCCTCTCGATGTTGTTGCCACCAGATTTCTTGTCATGGTAGAACCTCTTTAGCTTCTTGAAGTTCTCGTTCCTGTCTTGTTGGTTCCTCTTGAAGTTCTCCTTGTCAAAAGCAGCCTCGTCAAGATCGTGTTTGGCAGCCTTCGCGTTGGACTGGGCAGCAGCATCAGCATATTTCTTATCACCCCCACTGGCTGTTTTAGCGGCCTGGCTATCCTTGGCATTGAAGCCATTATTTTGAGCATCGTGTACTCCCTGAGCAAATTTACCATTGCGTTGATCATGAAGACTCTTCAGCTGGGCGAATTGTCCTGTGTTCTTTGCCTGCTTGTATTCTTTAAGAGCAGCATCTGTGGCTCCAGCAGCCTGGGCAAGACGTTCTTTACCTTGGTCAACCTGTTTGGTGTCCTCTCCATACTTGTGATTAGCTAGTCCTCCACTTCCTTCGCCATGGGTGCCGGTACCAGTACCAGATGAGCTGCCATGGACACCATTGTTTCCGTAAGCAGTGCCTCCAGTAATGCCGCCGTGGTTTCCATCATTGCCATGACCACCATAGTATTTCTTGTCAGCATGTCCTTGAGCTCCTGCATGACTGGCAGCAGCCTGGCGTCCGAAAGCGTTGTCCTTGTTTGCGAATTCGTTTGCCTTCTTGACAGCCTGTTGACGACCAGCATCCTCGGCTTGGAACTTGCTATCCTTCCTATCATACTGAACAGCTTGAGCATCCTGGGTAGCACCTGCTTTGTCGAGTTTCTTGTCGCTGTTTCCGTATTTACCATTGGCAGCCTGCTTCTGAGCAGCGTTCTGGCTGAACTTGCTTTCTTTAAGAGCGTGCTGAGCATCCTGTCTGGCATTGGCAGCAGAATGATCCCCTCTGAGCAGCTTCCTAGCCTTTTGCTTATCCCTGTACTCATCCAGCTTGTGAGCGGTGTGGCCGTTCTCCTCCTCAAAGCCTCCCCTCTCGGTCAAATCTTGATCAAACTTCTTATCAAATCCATAAGAGATGTTGTCATTGAACACCTTCCCTCTGTTATAAGCCTTCTTGTTTGCAGCTGCACCATTGTACCCACGAGCCCTGTTGTCATCCAGATTATCATACTTCCCCTGAGCAGCGGACTGGTAGCCTTGTGAGTAGCCAGCGTCGGCGATCTGGCGAGAAACCTCGTCATATTTAGCATCCTGCTTAGCGAAGTTCTGAGATGCCTTGTTACCACTTTCCGCAGCCTTTGCATTCTTTTGTCCGTATTGGTTAGCTCGTCCGTTGTAGTTCCGTCCATTCTGGGCTTGTCTGTTCTGTGCTCCGTTAAAACTGTCTAAGTCTCTCAACGATTTGGTTGACTTGCCCTGGTCCTGGCCGAATTGGCTGTCTTGTACCACCGATTGGGTTTGGTCCCGACCACTGGAGCCGTATGAGTTGATGTTGGTGCCATATTCTGCTGGTGCCGCGGCGACACACAGCGCCGTTACCACGAAGACGTAGGGAAGCTGAAATTAAAGAAATAAAATATACACATTTTGTAACATTTAGGGTTTTTTCGAATAACATATAGCAGGTACTATAATTTCATATTATATATTACTATCGTTAATTTGTCGTGCCATGATATTTCTACAGAAAAAACATAAAAGAATTGGGTGTTTGTTAACTTCTTTTGAGTAGTGTATAATATAAATTCATACGTACATGTTGACAATTGTTGTATCAATGACCTTTTCATTCAAAGTACTGACATGCTTATAAACATATAGGCAATCCTGGATGATTAATAATTATAAGATAGTAAACAGAACAGTAAAACTCTTTCAAATGATAGAAATTTGAAGTGTACAATTTATTTCTGGTTATAATAAATATTTTAAAGAAAATAAAATTAAACGGAATAGTACATCGTAAGCAAGTTATGAAATAAGGTAACAGCGTCCTTCGGGTGGTACAGTCAGGTTATTTCCACTCTCATCTATCACATCAAAGGACAAGTTATAAAACTGATCAATTGATCTTGTTTTCGTTTACAACAATTATTTCGCTAAAACGATATAATATTTTCTAAAATAGGGAATGGATTCAAATAATTCAAACATATTTACCTTCATTGAATCAGCGCTAGTAAGATTAGGTGGACAGAGCACCTTCGGTTCAACTACCTGTGATGAGGGGACACCCTTTGTCGTTAGGTCTAGGACCGAAGTGTTGTGGTGGATGTCCTGTTCAAACCCTTTTATAAGAAGAACTCCACATCCATAAACATCACAGTACATGTCATACACACCAAAACCTGTCATTCCAACAGAGAATCTCATGAAAACGACATTAAATGTAATTCCTTTTAGCTGGGGGCTGGACCGACAAGCTTGTTAAACATTACACCTGCTGCCATGGATAACATTGTTGCTCCACGTCATAATTAACAGCCAATCAGAAGCCGGTATCACTTGCAAAGCAAAATATCAGGTGATTCTATTTAAATTATCTTAATGACACATAATGACATATCATTGTTGCATTCAATGACTGTTCAATGGTTAACAATATAGTAATGGTAATGCGTTAAAACGCGTGACTTAAGACAGCTGGTATCAGTGTTTGCCAAATTCAAATTGTTTTATTGTGAAAGTTCATGTTGAAAAGTATCAGCGTACAACTTAAAATGGAAACTCCATAGTCTATTTGTCTGTAGTATATTTCCTCTTGTTGTCTGAAAGCTTTTAACATTACATACGTGAAACAAATTCCAGGATATGAAAGTAAAACTGAATTATGTCAAAGGCAGCGGAAAATGTGTACATGTATGGATAGAACTTTAAAATGCTTATACCTGCGTGACTATTAATTGTTCATATCACATTTGACACAATCTGTATGGCTTTGACCAATGCGTCTGAGCAACATATTCACTCACGTCTAATGCTACAGGAGGAGCATTGCATGCTCGCTTATTTCGTGAACACATGATGTTATCAGTGTCATGTAAATAATGACAATTTAATACAAATAATGCCAAGATATTTTTCTATACATTTTACGCTTTCACGTTATAAATCTTCGAGACACAAGTTCGCATATATATAATAAAATAATAAAGTCCACGTTAGTCCATATAAAGAAGATGATGGACTAACTTGGACTTTATTATTTTATTATATATCACATGTGCACCGAGTGAACATTTACCTCATGTTTGTATATATATATATATATATATATATATATATATATATATATATATATATATATATATATATATATATATATATGTATATATATGTATATATATAATATACCACCGACACTTAGCGTTTAGTATACAATTTGTAAATATAAAACATCAACGCAAGAGAAAAAACAATCTCGATTTTCCGCCGAAATAGAGTCCATTGTAACAGGTGAACAAGCGTCGGACCTGTTCTTGGCTAACTGAAGGTGTATGCATCTGTTCGTAGACATACACATATATTTTCAACGGCCTAAAGATACAACTGCAATTTAAACATGGTTGAACATCCGGAAAACAAAAAAATATATTGTTGTCACTATTATTACTACGTTCGTGTAAAGATTTCTATATTTTATTTGTTACACTTGTGGCATTCATGTACAGGCAGTAGTGTGTTAGTGAATGAGTATGACAGCCTGTCAGTTTGAACCGAAGAGCACCAGTCAGGATTTGAACCAATCATCATAAGTTTCTGGCTAGTCTTAGGAACGCAGCTCTAACGAATTAGGAATGAACGCAATCACACACACACACACACACACACACACACACACACACACACACACACACACACACACACACACACACACACACACACACACACACACACGCACGCACGCACGCACGCACGCACGCACGCACGCACGCACACACAGGCACACACACACATGCACACGCATACAAACGGACAAATCCACACACATTCACACACACTCACTCACTCACACATACACACACACACACGCACGCACGCACGCACGCACGCAAGCACACACACATGCATACACACACACATGCACACGCATACAAACGGACAAATCCACACACATTCACACACACTCACTCACACATACACACACACACACACACACTCATACATACATTAGCATACTCACACACACAACACTCAACCACACACTCACAAACACGCACACGTACACTCTCTCTTACACACACACACACTCACACTCAACACACACACCTCACGGCACAGGGATGAACACCATAAGCATTCTCTAAATCTTCAATATTCAAAATTAGTTTCCTCAGTCATTTACCTTTCCTTACACAATTTGTCAAACTAACGACTATAAACAGCAACAGGCGGTACCGTTTCCAGTAAAAATGTCCGAATTAACAAGTGTCCAAAGTAACAAATTCTTGTTAATAGACGTTCCCAAAAGAGTTGTCTGGAAAGTAGGTTTCCGGACTAACAAGGTTGTATTGTATTAAGAGGCGGGATTTAAACTTCAAACGTAATGTTGATACAGATAATACTTAATTCAACAAAGCGGACTTATCTCTGTAGAGGAACGCATCATTCTTAAATCTATATGTGACAACGTATATGTCAATAACACAAGCGGAGGCAGGAAGCAACCCTGACTTTTATTATGTTAATGGTCATTTGGGTTGTGCCACAGACACACTAATACCGCAGCAGCCAATGCCGATGCTAAAAGTCAAGCAATGGGTCAGTGATTGATCTCCTACCCTGGCAAAGGAAATAAAACCGACAGGTTAATTTTCATGCCTTAAACGTTTTGTTCATTTGGAAAGTCCCCATGCAATGTTAAATGCCAACTAGACTTAAGAATGGTGCATCCCGCTGGGCAGATACGGTGATTACAGAGGTGACGCGACAACCGCTGCAATCAACTTTCGCCCTTTGTGATAAAAACCTTCATTTAAAGAGTTCTACTGGGCAAGTACCAGGGCCGACTTGCATAAAGCGATCTTAGCGCTAAGATGATCTTAACTCCCATACTATAACATGGGCTTACAATGGTCTTAGCGCTAAGATCGTTTTGTGCAATTCTGGAGTTAAGCTTGTGTGCATATTCGTTTACATACATACTTGGTAACAGTACTGTATACGGGGAGTATACGAAAGCCACAAACCCCTTTCCATAATCATAAGAAATCATTGTATAATTCCTACTATATGTTAAGCATGTCCCCGAGTTTTATTATAAGTCCAGTAGCATCTATCTATGCTGTGTCAACGACAAAAAAATCGTTTGGACCGAGACATTAAAACTGCCCCAACTCTGTTGCAAAACGAATATATTTCTTAAACGTTTTTTCTTTATTTATAAGAATCAAAATATCTGCACATGCACACAGCAGGCGTAATTCAAAATTAACATTTTTAATTAGTTTCAACAAAATCAGCAAATGCACTATCTTGTCACTGGATTTTCTGTTTCATCGATCACTGGATTCTTTGGTTACCGCCACACAGTAGTAAACAACGCGACGACGGCCTGTAAACAAACCAGGCAATAAGTACAAGTAAATACTTACTTTTCTAATGCTAATTATGTCAATGGCTGGTACTACGGGCAGGAAAGGACAAGTTTACCCTTTTCGTGAACACCTACTGTCATCACTGATTTTCAGACGCGTGAAGATAAGGGTTAGAAGAGGTCTTCATCAATCCATGCGTGCCGTAAAATGCGACTATGAGATATGAACATGTGTGACGTACATGGACATGTACGGTATGAACATGTGTGACATACATGGACAGTGTCGGTATGAACATGTGTGACATGCGTGGATAGTCTCGGTATGAACATGTGTGACATGCGTGGACAGTGACGGTATGAACATGTGTGGACAGTGTCCGTATGAACACGTGTGACATGCGTTGATAGTGTCAGTATGAACATGTGTGACATACACCCACAGTGTCGGTGTGAACATGTGTGACATACATGGATAGTGTCGGTATGAACATGTGCGATATACATGGACGGTGTCGGTAAGAACATGTGTGACCTTCTGAGACAGTGTCGGTATGAACATGTGTGACCTGCATGGACAGTGTCGGTATGATCATGTGTGACATACATGGACAGTGTCGGTATGAACATGTGTGACATACAGGAACAGTGTCGGTATGAACATGTGAGGACAGTGTCGGTATGAACATGTGTGACATACAGCCCGGAAAAGTGTCAGTATGAACATGTGTGGACAGTGTCGGTATGAACATGTGTGGACAGTGTCGCTATGAACATGTGTGGACAGTGTCGGTATGATCATGTGTGACAGGGGGCACGGGTGGCCCAGTCGTCTAAGGCGCCGCGATTCGCTGTGCAGAGTTGCGTCCCTTGGGCACGCCAGAAACCTATGGTTGTGGGTTCGAATCCCGGTTCGCCCCGATTATGTTTCTAGGTTTGTCAGCACCATACCCGTGCCTGTGGGTTTCACCGAAGTGGTAAACGTCTAAGACCTGCATCACTTCGGGCTTTCCTCCCACAT